ATTAATTAGTTGCAATTAGTATATAATTTTTACCTTTATACCTGGCATGGGTTATAATAGTGTATTTTTCTTCTTTTGTTTGTTTTTTTTTTTAAGATGGTTCATCAGAACTTCTATGTCTTTTTTTCTGCTCTTTTCATCTTCATCCTATTATGATGGAACTATATTTAGGACCCCTTTTTTTTTTCTGTTAAATGTTTTTTTTTCTTTTTTTGTTTTTCTCTTTCTTTTCCTAGATAGTTTTGTTTTCTTTCATAGATGTGGCATATTTTTTCTTCCCTTACGGAAAAGTAAGAGATAAACTATTCTGCCCAGATTTAGATGGAAAAAGTTTAGAAGAAAGGATAGATAGTCTTGATAAGCCGGTGGGAATCTTTTGGTGAAGATTTATTCTTTGCAAGTGTAGTAAAAAATATTTTGGAGAAGAATCCTGCCTATAGCAGGTTGCACATGGGTAATTTGAACTCTGGCCAGGTGAGCTAATACTTGTAATTTAGGTGGCATTAGGGTTTATACCCTACGAAAATTTAATATTTCACAGTATAATATTGTAAGGCCTAATAAAGTAGAGGCAAGACTGCTGAACTGTTAAAAAAAAAAAAACAAACCACCAAAACACAAATAATAATATATATATAGTAATAATAGATTAATTGAAAAGAAATTACTATGCTGCACTATTCTAAATGCACATTACATAAACACATATTTTATATAATTTAAATCTGAGATTTCTACTATGCCATCTTATATACACCTTAAGAATAAATTTGTTTAATCAGTTCTGGTTTAATATTATTAGCTTCCAAAAATTGTTTTTTTGATTCCATTTTCATCTTCCTGATCTATTTCATCAAACCAACAATAATTATTTCAACAATTTCTGTTGCAGTAGGTCGTGTATCAAAATCTTTATCCATACATTTCATAGCTAATTTAATATAACAATCTGGTCCTAAGCATTTACCGTAGTGCACTGACCAAAGTATCCCCTTTTCCCCTTGCAAAGTACCCGGTGCAAAACACAAGACTTCTTTAATTAAATATAGGTTTTTTTTAAAATTTTAGACCAGAATATGTATATGTTTGAAATTTTTTTTTCTTGCGACACTGACTCGCTGCTGCATAATACCGGGTTTTTTGGTCAGTGCACTACGGTAGATCTTGATCCGTCAAATCCGTCAATGATTTTTGCTGCAAGATAATCATCAAACGGAATTCCATCAAATGCTCTTTGTCCGGTACAAAACTGTAAATATCTGATGCTAGAATATACGGTTGGCCCACCAATATCTCAGGTGCTATGTACGGTAGAATTCTACAAATTTTTCCTTTCTTTACTACTTTAGAAAGTCCAAGATCAGTAATATATACATATTGTAGATTATCTCCTTGCAAAATATTTCCGTTGTGTAAATCCCTGTGGACGAATGAATCGACTCGAGACCCAAAGCTATACCATATAAAATATTCAATTTATTTCCATTCCAATTGTGATACTTCCATAAGATTTTGTCGTAACGAACCATTTGGTGCAATCTCCATAACAATAATGTAATCAGCAGAATTATTTCTTGATACTCCAAAACAATTTAAGAATGAAGAACCAATTTCGCAATAAACCTTCAACTCCTGGATAAATTCTTGTACATTTTTGTTTGAATCACGAATCACTAAGTGCAACGCCTCTCCATGTACTATTAATTTTATCGAACCAACGTGAGAAATATACGTTGTGAATCCCCTTTCCCTTTTCGATGATATCTCTGAATTCATTATTATATCAATCCATGATAATTTAAATCTAAAATTAACTTAAGTTCAGGATTTATATGATCAGGTAATTTATTAGTTTTCAAAAGACTTACATTTTCTGAACCAATAATTTACCTCTCTCTTTGTACTAATACCGTTTCGATAAAGTTGTGCAATATACTCGTTGCTACACTATTAACCATATTAGCAGATTTTTGATAATACTCAAATGCTTTATTATAATCTCCTCTCCTATATTCATAACAAACACATTGCATAAGCATCACCCAAATCAGCCGACTTATAATATTCAAATGATTTCTAGTAATTTTTTCTACTCCAGTTCCATAATAATAACAAATACCAACATCATTCATCGAAGTTGGATTTCCTAACTCAGCTGCTCTAATATAATATTCAAATGCCTTCTTTTTGTCTTTGTTTAAAGGAAAAAAGATCATACACAAAATAAATACATTAATTTCCCGAAGCGTAGCAGAGGACTTTTATTGTTTGTCAAAGTGATACAAAGCCATGTCAATAATTACGTTTCTTTAGTTGACTTGTATTTGTGAATCAAAAACGTAATTTTGAAAAAGTTTCATGTCTGCCTACAGCCCACCCACCATCTATGTTCGTACAGATTTTTCGAGGAAATCTTTGGCTTCATTAATTTTACTTGCCAAATAAGGGGAACCTCCACGATCGGGATGGTTAAGAAGCATAATTCGGCGATGTGCTTCTTTAATTTTAGCTCTATTAACACCAGACTCTCTATCAATAATAATGTTACCACGTAAAGTTAATATATATATTTTTATACTTTCAAAATATTTACTTAAATATTTTTTCAAAAGTACCGTAAGCCTAGGATCTGTATTGCTTCCTGTCTAGTAATCTTACGTTCAAACCCTCCCATTGGCCGCTTCTTGGACGCTGAATTACTAAATACCGTTTTTGAAGCTAACGGTTTAGAACTTTGAGCAGCCTTAAGTGCCCACCTACCGGCCAACGCTGCCGCTGTAACTACAGCTCCGATTATTATAGGGGTCGACTAGTGTTTAGATAGAACGTCACATAAGTTAATAATGAATTTACATTACTAAAAGGATTATATTATTACCATTTTTTTCTGAAATTTTTTTTGATTAAAGAAAGCATGACTGAAGTTTAACTTTTATTTTTTATTGGCCGTTATGTCAAATGATCATAATCGAATATGATTGGCTAAGGCTTTTAAGTGGCTTAGTTTGGGAGATATGTTGGATGTAGCTTTTTGGTTGTCGCCATTAACTGTTAATAAGCAAACAGTAGTGCTGTCTGTAGTGGTTTTATCCAGAAGGCTAAATGTCCTATACCTTTCAAAAATTAAAAGTGACATTTCCGTCACAATACGTACTTCATGTGGAATTAAATAACTCCGAGAAATTAAATGCTTTCGATCGAACGTGAGAGAATTTAAATTCTCCTATTATTCTAATAGCTTAGAAGTTTAATTTACTAAACTTTCCTGCAGTTTATGGAATGACGTTAAAGAATGCTTCATGAGCATTGAGGCGGATTCTACAGTTAGAGTTGCCGTAATCTCTGGAGCGGGCAAATTATTTTCAGCTGGAATTGACTGTAACTACCTTATGTTTGTTCTACTGAATTAGTTAAAAGAATAATTATTTAATTTGCAAATTTTTTTTCCCAAAGGCAGTCAATACATTATCAGAGATAAATGAAGGTGAAGTAATAGATTTTGCACGGAAGGCATATTATTTACGACGCTATCTTAGGGTAGTTTTAATACTTTTTATCATAATTATCGATGTACATGTCCAATTACTAATTTATTGCACATGATCTATAGATAATCCAAGATTCATTCACTGCAATTGAAAATTGCAATAAACCTGTCATTGCCGTAGTTCACAACGCCTGCATTGGGGCCGGGGTTGATTTGATTACTGCTTGTGATATTCGTTACTGTTCACAGGATGCATATTTTTGCATTAAGGTATTGTATCGTATCATGATGATATTATAAATTGTTCTTTGAATAAAAAAATTTTTTCGACGAATTAGGAAGTCGATCTTGGTTTAGCTGCCGATATAGGTAAGACAAAATACTTTGTTCGATACGTCTTAATCTCTATCTTATGGAAATCATTAATTTTATATGGTTAGGGACATTGCAACGTCTACCTAAAATTGTAGGAAATAATAGCCTTGTGAGAGAGCTTTGTTTCACTGGACGCAAGTAAGTACTTCGGTTACTTACATAAATTTCATTTCTATAAATAATTACTACTTCTTTTATACTGGATGCATAAGATTTTCATCAACCGAAGCACTTAATTTTGGCTTAGTGAATAAAATTTTGCAGACAAAAGAAATAGCGCTGGGTATGTACAGATGAAGCATTTTTTATGGAATTTGATTGACCTTGTTCATTTTATGACGCCTTGTGTATGATTAAATAGCCGAAGCATTCAAGGCGGCAAGTATTATTGCCTCTAAATCACCGGTAGCGATTGCAGGAACAAAGTGAGCCTTTCGTTACATTAGTTTACAGGTTATTCCTATAATACTGATTTAATACGTAATAGGCACCTTTTAAACTATTCACGTGATCATTCGGTCAACGAAGGTCTCGAATATACTGCATTATGGAATTCAGCGATGCTCAATAGCAAGGTTAGTAAATAATGTATGTTAGCAAAATCATAACCTAAGTGACCAACATTACTATTTATATAGGACTTAATCGAAGCATTTAAATCTTCGATGGCAAAAGTAAAGCCAACGTTCGCAAAACTTTAATTGTATGTCAATGAAACGTTAAAGCTAATAAGCTCAACTATATGGGCTAGGTGCTACAAAAGATCTTCGGAAGATCAATTTTTATGTTTAAATTTTATAATAAATCGTAAGAAAATATAAACTTTAAAGAGCTATATTACAAAATTTTATTAATGCAACTGCTTTGTGTTTTAAGTGAAAATGATCCTAATCTTATTCTAAATTGATTTGTGTAAAAAAAAAATTTGAAAATTTGTCGATTCCCTCTTTTCTGTAGCACTCTGCCCATATAGTATTTCAAACAACCCATACCGTGACATAAAAAGTTCAGAGATTAAAATAAAATGTACTTGATGCATCGAAAAGTAGAAAAAAAATTTTCATTATGTTTAAAACCAAAAATCATTTAATTACAATATATGTTTATATGACCAAAAAAAAAATCAATTTTTAGTCGATTGTACTTATAAAAAATAGTTTTTCATTTATGTAATGCAGTCCATTTTTAGCAAATGCACATATCTATTTTTTTTCTTTTTTTTGTTATTAATTGATACTATTATAAACAACTTGATACTATATAAACAACCTTCTCTCAAATAAAAGTAGGCAGAATAAAAAGAACTCACTTGTTTCTACAGTTATATTTCCAATACGTTGCGTTGCCTAAATTCCCACATCCCCCTCATCTCCATCTGGATTCATAGTACGGCCACGGTGCCTGTTACTTCCTCTGTCACGTCCTGTGTCATTATCGCCCTCTCCGCCTTCGGATAAGTCACCACCGACACCTTCTGCCTCAGATATTACAGAATCTTCAATATCAGCACCGGTCGTTATGGGTTGCTGCACAACTTGGTCCTCCGTATTGCCTACTCCACCAGTGATGCGGCCTCTCTGTTGTCCAATAAATGCATTGTTCAAATATGCTCTCAGATCTTTCACACCTTTGCCACTGAAAACACAAAACACTTGTCTCTGATGAGCAGTGAACTCTTTAGGTGGCGGCCTACAAAAGCGTTGAACATCCGGACGTAGAAATGCATGAACACCGGTAAGAGATAAATGTGTCAATCGATAACAGAAATTAATTAAATCTAATACTGCGCTGATCGTAAGATTGACACAATACGATAGATGAACGCGCTCGAGGGTGTGCGCTACAACCCGATTTTCAATTAAAGCAAAAATGGCCTGATCAGTGATAAGAGCGCATTTCACTAATCCAATTCGACGCAGCTTTGGTAAGTTGGAGAGCTCAAAAACTGACGCATCAGTAAGCTGGTTGCAACATGCCAAATCAAGATATCGTAAACGAGTACAATGACGAGCCAAGTGAGTTATTGAATGGTCAGTAATACGATTACAATGACCTAGGTGAAGATAGTGCAAGTGTTTGCCCAATCGAGTAATATGATACACTCCTTCGTCCGTGATATTTCCGCATTTGGCCAAAACGAGATTACGTAATTTAGGTGCGCTGTGTACAATCTTGAAAAGCGTTTGATCGGTTATAAGAGCGCATGATGTAAGATCCAGCACGCGTAGCTGTTCAAATAACGATGGCGTTGTTCTTGTAAATGATTCATCGGTGAGATGAGCACAACAAGCAAGTCGAAGCTCCCGCAATTGTGTGCAATTTTCAAAAACCGGTTTGATTGCTTTATTGGTTATTTGGTTACAGTTGGTAAGATCTAATTCCAATAGGTGTGGGCAATTTTTAGCCAAAACAATAACAGATTCATCGGTAATATTGTCGCAATTGCTAAGCTTAATCTGAAAGCAAAAATAACAATATACAGTTAATTATCTAATATAATCTACCGCTAATAGACTTATCTACTCATTTCTTTTCATAAATTTGCTTGCATCAAAATAAATGACATACATAAAAATAATTTCTTTATGAGAATAAAAATAATTGATTACCTACCCTCCTTAAACTTCTACATTTTGAAGCTACCACCATAATACCTTTATCAGAAATTTTTCTACACATGCTCACATTCAAACCTTGTAATCGTCGACATCGTTCACCAACCAGTTCTACTACCGAGTCCGTCAGATTTTCAATGTCTGACACGTCTAAAGCCACTAGACCATCGGCCTTTTCCAGCAATTTCAAAAGCCCTACATCTGTCAGTCTTCTGCAACCTCCGAGGGTTAATCTCTCTAACCTTTCACAAGAGCTCAATCGAGCGAGAATTTGATCGCTTATATCCTCTCCCAAAAAAGAAAAATTAAGACGACGGATGAGAAGAGAGTATTGAAATGTTTGAGTACTACGTGATAAGGTGATCAGTAACTTAATAAGGGATGAATTGTTAGTGAAAACTGGCTTATGCCATAACAATTCAACCCCACACCGACACCACGATTTGCATACTAAAATGCAAGACTTAAGATCGGCAGTAGAAGTTACATATTTAAAAATCTGTAAGATCAGTTCCGAGGGTATAGTAGCGGCTTTTGCGAGCGAAGTTGAAGACGAGGGTAATGGATTTGGCTTTGTTGCTCGCCCAGGCAAAAGTTTTTCTGAACTCATTGTGTAATGATTTTGATCTAACTTTCGTATGCTTTATATCGAGTTAAGACTGTTAAGAACTAAACATCCGAATCATATATAATTTTATTTATTTATTTCTAAGATTAGGAAATGCAAGAAAGATAAAGATGAGCTATGGTGAATGAATGCGACACAAATACCTAAAGCAAAAGAGCTCTCGAGGCTATGCGAGTTTGAGGGAAGGCTGCTTATGGGTTGGAATCGCACGTTATATAATGTGTAACCCCTGTACCGGGAAATATCACTATAGCACAAATAGTTGTCTCAATAAAATGCGATAGGTGTCTTAATAAACCTGTGCTCGATTTGTGCAGATATAACTAGTGCCTGAGTGTGTCACGTGATCATCAATTACTGCTCAAAAATATCGATATGTCACTATTTGAATACGTATAAACCTTACTATATACAGTACTAGGCTCTGCATAATATTGTATTTAAAAACGATTCTGTTAAAGCATAGATCCGTGCCCGTTACCGCACTTGCAGGATCCTAACTAAAACAGTGCCCGCGTTTGTGCTTGTGCTATGTTTTAATAGTATGCCCAGCACTTGCGGAATGCTAACCCTACCACGTAAATCCACTTTATATACAATTCAAGAAAATTACCACGCATATAAAACACCTATCACTTATTTCAAATTGCAAATTAAACAAAAGATAACTTTATTGGTTAACGGTCACGAGGCCAACAAAATTTGATAAACAAGCCACAAATAATGATAATTCGAATCAACAATTTATACCAGATATTTTTTCGCAAACCTTTTTCTCACTTAGCCTCGTGAGTCCCCTCGTTTTCTGGTATATATACTACTAACCTTTATTAATTCTTTAATCAATAGTTTTTATATTCATGCTCCATTTCTTCGTTGTTATTTGAATATTATAGGTTAATATTTCTCTAGATATTGCACATCAAATGTTCTACAAAAATTCGATATTCTTTGTCCTTGTACTCGGTCTCTTTCTTTGCTGTTATTTTATAATTTGTTTCAATTATGGAACCATATCACAAGATGATATAATATCTAAGAGCATGAATTATGTAAGAAATGGTAACAATAAATTAGAACATAATGACGCTTTAATTCGAGCTGCTGTTGCAGATCAAGTTAAGACATTATGCGCAGCCGAAGTCCAAAAAAAAATTCTATCACAAAACAAAGAAGTGACGAGATATCGAAATAATCCCGCGGTGGAAAATATTGTGGTCAATATGGTACGGCAAGAAGTCCGGAAAGCCGTTGAAGAGATGCTATACACATATTCACAAGACAAATTAAATAAAGCAGATTTTGCCCTATCTTCAGGTGGCGCTAAGATTATAAGTCCGCTAACTTCCCCAACCTATGAACAATGGCCGACGCAGTGGTATAAAATAATGATGGCATCCGTGACCGGTTACGGTATTACACGAGGTAAACCTCCTATTACTGCAATTCAACCCGATACCCATGTTGGACAATGCTGGCCTTTTTCTGGGCAACAGGGACAATTAGCAGTGCTGCTGAGCCGCCAGGTTTACGTGACGGCAGTAACCTATGATCATGTTGGCAAAACTGTTGCCATGGGCACAACAAGTGCTCCAAAAGAATTCGAAATTTGGGGATTCACTGATGATGATGAACTAGATATAGAATTTGCAAAGTCAGGAAACACAGAAAACAATCAACCGGAATATAATGATGCTGTAACCGACAAAAAACCAAGTCACACCACCAATGACCCGGACACAAACATTCTAGACTCTAATCATATACAATTGGCAGGTTTGGACATAAAGTTGGGTTCATCTTCAAGCCACTTATTTTTGGGCCAATTTGTATACGATATAGAGGGCTCACCTATTCAAACCTTCGAAGTCAAAACTCCAGCTAAGCCTATTCGTGCCATCATTATGAAGGTGAATAGTAATTGGGATAATCCAGAATATACATGCTTATATCGATTCCGTGTTCATGGTGTTCATCTTGCACCAAATTTTGATAAAAAATAATAAATATAACTTACTTAACTTTGAAACAATACAATCATTATATTTAGGAGTAATAACAAATAGTTACTTAGCTTGCTTGTTAGCTGTCTTTCTATAGATTTTATGCATATTCTCTACATAGAGTAGTTTTTATCTCTTAACATAAAAGAGAAGATACTACTTGAATAATGCATATTTAACATTTTTCGGTCGATAAAGAACCAAAACTACCGTATAACACTGACTATCATCAATGAATAACGGGTACATATCGGAGACAAATCTCCTGATATGTACCCATTATTCTACCATAAATCCGCCAAATAACTGTAGCATATCAGTATCATATAGGAGGTAGATCGATAATGGTAACATAACAGTAACAGTAACTTACCGGTATCTTACTCTTAGCACTATTTGGACTAAGAGTGATACCGGAATGTCCCGGTATGTTACCATTATCGATCTACCTCCCG